TTAAAATGTTAACAATGAATACACTTTTCTACATGAAGAAAAGCACTTCTCTTGTATTACCGGAGAACTGGTAGAATCTACACGAGATATGAATTCATCACGGTGATGATTTGTAGGATAAAACAATATGGCAACTCCACTTCACACTGTAATTTCAACACATGATTTTGCAACAAGACCCCAAGCTCTAAAAAACAGGCTCTCTAAGCCAAAACAACCAATTTCAACATTAAACTACAACATTTGGGGATTCCCACATGGAAATCCAATACCTTCATTTTGTTTCAAGAACAAATTTGGGGTTGACTTTGATAGCTTGAGCAAATACTTCTTATATCTCAAAGTATATAAATTTTGGTATGTACGTGTGTGTATACACGTACACACATTATTAGAATCCCTGTAATGAACCTTAGGGAGGTTTATATATAACATAAATACCAATAGAAAATTAAAGTGTCAGTCCCAAAATACATTTTCCTGGTGTATGCTAAGGTGGCCAGCTTGTATATGTTCAGGCAAAAAAAACAGTTTTGTTCTTGTTCACGGGTCCTCTGACTCACAAATCGAAACCAGGCCAGGCTATGCCAGATTTCAAGTCACAACATTCGAAACAGCCCAGTGTTATGAAACTTCAAAGGGTCGAAGAAACTTTTCATCCTGACTATACTCGGAAAGGGATTCAAAAACCAAATTTTAACCACTACTGGTTTAAGACTGGAAGTTAGGAAGAAAGCTTTATCATTCATCATTGCCAGTGAACAGGAGACTGAAAATGGCTAAGCTGTGCATACTTGTTAATATTTCTTCAATGGCTGTTTGACAGAACCTGGATTTCGCTCCGTAGGTGCCACGATGATCGACCTGCTCCCTGCAACTATCCACACGATTTCCAACAAACGTCCCCGCTCCCAGGGACAGCGTGCAGGGCAGGCTACGCCCCGTATTTAGGCATTCAGGTAACCCCTCGTGAGAAGGGTCCGGCCTTCGAGGAGCACATGTCAGCCCTCAGATTTGAGAAGGCAGCATTTTGTACTGAGCTATTTATAAGCAGAGCCCAATCCGCTCGATTGACAGGCCGGGTCTAGAGAAGCAGCTATGGGATCTTCCACAACAGGAAGCCTCCGAGACCCCCTCTCCAGAGACTTCGCGTTAAGGTCCATATTTAATGATCACCATGTTGAAGCCATTTCCATTCGTTTTTTTGTTTCCGTTTTTTTTTACCAAATCAGAGTCATCGAGCCACTAACTCCAGGTCGCCGTGGACACCCGCCCCTTCCTGCCCAGCGCTAAGCTGAGCACAAACAGAAATGAACTCCTCCCTCGCCTCTACGGCTTAGCCGTCGGGACCGGGGCTCCCGGCCTCGCGGTCTGCTGGCAGAAGGAAGCTCTGGGCGCACAGGTGACTTCCCCGTGGACACTGAGAGGCTGAGCTCCACCGAGACAGGTCCACAAGCTACAGCGCTCAATCTACACGAAGTTCTTAGGGTTCAGAAGGCTCATTAAACAAAGGTCGATGAGAGAAGAGTGTCATTTCAGAGGCTGCAACGTCCTAAGGCCTGCAGCTCCCTAAAGCTGGGGACAGAGGTGAGGCAGGAGACACAGGCACTGGGGGGGCATCCCCAACAGACACGTATGTGTTGCCACCATCTTCCTCGTGGCCTGGGGCATCCACTTTATCTAAATTTTACCTAACTTGTGGCTGACTCACAGCATGCTGGGGTGATCTTATTTTGAAAGGGATTAGACCATCTGATGCAGGAGTAGGCAAACGTTTTCCAATTAAGGGCCAGACAGTAAATATTCTAGGCTGTGCAGGCCATAGGGTCTCTGCCGTATTTATGCAACTCTGCTGGTCACATGAAAACAGCCACAGACAAAACGGAAATAAACAGGCGTGGCCGTGGTCCAGTAAAACTTTACTTGCAAGATCAGGCGGGAGTCAGATTTAGCCCACGGGCTGTAGTTTGCCGACTCCCCATCTGGACAGCTGAACCCAGTCAACCGCAGTATCTGCCTACAAACTTCCAAGAATTCAAAACGCTTTATTGTGGCATTTCCTCTGAATCCTTCTACCGACCTGAACCACCCTGATCTTTATAAGCTGAATTAATAAGCAGGAGTCCCTCCAATTGCCTTCGGAACATAAAATATCCAAAGTTCAAAATACAGTTCTGTATCACTTACAGCCGGGGTGGAGGGGGGCGAGGTACCCAACATGGACGACAAGAGAGAATATGCATAGAGGCGACGTCAAAGGGGGCAGTGTCTTGGCACGTCCCTGCCATCCACCAGGGAAGGCGTCCCCTCTCACCGCCCGAGCGTCCCCTTCCACAACAGAGAGCCCCCTCCCAATGGCAAGTCCAACAGAGAGGTGCCTTGCAGGGAATTCAAAAACACGAACAAAAAGCATCACTGGGAACACCAGAATTGTAAACCAACCTTTGTAAAGCCAATTAGGTTACCTGTGTTTTTAGCTGTGGAATCACCACTCTCAAAATAAAGACCGGTATGTTTTGTAACAGCCCACTCTGCTCCCAAGAGCACAGACATCCATGAGGCTAAAGACTGGACAGTTCACACGTAGGAACCGGGCTCCCCTGAGCAGCAAGAGGAAAAGTGCAGGCCAACACCATTCAAGCTTCAAGAGGAGATGACTCCCGGACGCCGAGGAGGGTTGGGAGTGAAGATGCCTGATTCATTCTGCGCTCAGCTGTTCCATTTCAAAGGGGCAGAAACAGAGTGGTGATAGCGATTTCTAAATTGGCGTGTTTCACAGCTCAGGAGAAGGAAGAAATTTATCTGGAAGGCACAGCCGACTTGGACAAGGACACTCTCTAAGGCAGCCGCGTGGGATATAAAAGCTGCCTAAGTGATGACGGCAAAGCCACGGGCTTGCCTTCGGCTCTTTTCTTTAAGCCTGATGCCACGGCTGCAGCGCCAGAGTTCTTTGCAAGGATCTGATTGCCTGGAATGTTCGGTCTGATGTTATTTCAAATATTAAGCAGACAAATCTCCAGCACTCCCCTAGACTCGGGCTTCTCGAGACTGGAGGGGTCACGGGGAGACCAGGCAGAGCTGAAGGCAACAAAGGTTCGAGCTGGGGAAATGGGGATGGGGGGTGCGCTCGGAGACCTTCCCCAACCTCCCTTCCAGCCTGAGCTGTCCGACTTACCATCACATGTGACTGGATCACGGGCACCTACTTGCAGGGCCCACAAAAAAGATCAGGGACCTCAGGAAGGGGAAGCGGTAGCTGGGAAGAGGCACAGAGCTTGCCTCCGAAAGGTCCGAGGTCCACTCTGACCAACGACACATTTCTTCTCAATGCTTCAGAACCTCCTCCTCCCTTCCGACCAGGATGCAATACCCAACTACACATAGCTCTCTGAACATTCTGGACCAGTGCCTTTAGTCCTGGATTATGATGTCATAGGCCTGACGTGGCAAATCTTCAGCAGAGCTTCAGGAGGCCTGCCATCGAACGTCAGACAGAGCCAAGTTTGAACACTTACGCACAAACCATCAGTAGTCACTTACCTTACTAATGAAAGGAAGAAACTGTCTAGCCACGAGATTAAGGGAATGAGATCTTTTAGTTAATTCTCTGGTTAACAGAGTGTTAAATAAGAAGAGGTATTTTACTTAAGTCCTTATTTTTTCTTAATTATTCTACAGTCTTGGTCCACACGCTAAACGTAACGGTAGTCAACGCCATCAACACAACATACTGCTTCCTGGATGACTGAGGATCCAGCTGTTACTTTTAATATAGCACCATCAGCTTTTCCTATCGATGACAATTAAATAGAATGAACCCCGATGTGATTCAGAAAACCGAACTGAACATATACTGAGCCCAGGATGAGGTCTGAGAGTTGATTTTAAATAAACCCCTTTCATTTAAAAAAAAAAAAATTCCATACGCTTCTTTGCCTTAATGGACAGGTACAGTCAAAAGTTCCGCTCTGGGACCATAGCTTGTTAGATTTTCAACCCTGTACTATACAACAATTGATCCTCCAAGAATGTATGTCACTTCCTATACTTGCCCTGATGATACCAGGGAATGCTTCTGCAAGTTCAAGAAGAGGTCACCGAAAATTAAGCAAGACAGAGAAAGAAGTGCAGGGGATACACAAACCAGTGAGGAGACAAAGCTGGTGAGAGAGAAGGCCAGTGAGGGGGGAGCACCATGAAGGGTGAAAAGGAGAGAACTTGCCAGAAGACAGCTGAACACAATTCCATGTTTTGTCTCTGTAAATTAACCTGAGGATGCATATCCTTACTCAAAGCAGCTGGTTCTTACAGAGTCAGATATTCCTGTCAATGGACCAAAGCAAAATAAGAATTAAATCATCTGGAGAGTGAACGCAGGAACATCTGCTTTGCCGCAGCTTCTCTACCAGCCCATGAGGCTAAGGAGAGGACACCCCCGGAGCCCCTCCCTCATGACCATCACCGCAGTTAAACGCGGGCAACCAAGAGGGCAACTAATTCTCCGACTCTGCAAAGAAATAAGATCCTGTTCTCCAAAGAAAATCATATTCTCCGTAACCAACGGACAGCTGCAGTGTCCTTTGTCCCAAAGCCCTGACACACCACTGTTCCCGATATTCCATTACCAGTCAGCGTTGGGCCGAAGAACCCAGGTAACTGGACCATGTCCGCACACCACGCAGACCAGGTCAGAAACTCCTAGACAGAGCCAGCTGTCTCTCATCCTTAAGAACCAAAATAGCCACCATCTTCCGCTGAGTGTTCAGCTTTCGGAGAATTCAAGGTCAGCCCTGACACGGCCCTCCTTCCATGGAAACTCTGGGACTGAAAAAGGGCCCAGAACTTTAATGACACGATAGCTGAAAAGGCTATAAATACCTTTTAAATTAGAGAACCACCAAACAAAGTTTTCTTATGGTTAGACTAAAGCGGATTTCATCATAGCAGTGACAAAAAAAAATAATAATAACAACAACCATCGCTGTCAGTTAACAACCTACCTATTCCCGAATTCGCTCCGGTAACCACGACCACTTTGCCACTGAAATCCCGGCCCTGGAGGATTTCCATGGCGGTTGTGCTGCTGTCGTATCTCTGTCTGGTGGTTGGCTTTGTAGGATTATCGTCCACAGTAAATGCCAGTCTTGGGTCCAAGTAGGTAGTTCTTTTATTTATGTGGCTGCAAAGAAAAGGAGAAAGCAGTGAACCTACAGTACTGAACACAGGCATTTATAATTACAAGATAATCTTATAGTTTAGGCTAGGCAAACCCCATTTTTCATGGACTAAAAAAGGCTTATTCTTAACCCCGGAAAGACCCGGGTCCATTTAATCTATCTTCTGGCCTCCAGAAGGATTATATTCCTGCCTAGAAAGACAGCCATCGAAGCATTTTCTTCAGAACTGCCTGTAAAATAGGCTGTTACAAAGCACTGCCTTGTACCCTCAGATCTCAAACATGGAGTAGGCTTTGGGGTTTTTCTCTTTTAATTCATGTAAATGTGGCTATAAGATCCATCAGGCACTCTTGTCAGTAGATTTCAATTAAATCTCTTATGTGCAAGGGCCTAAGAAGATTGGTAAAGAAGTAGAAAACTCAAAATGATAAGACAGTAAATATGAAACCAGCCTACTAAAATTCTAATAATTTTCATTATAAGGCTGTACTCACACACTATAGTTTTGATTTGGAGTTGACTGAAATCTTGTAGAAATAATATTAAACTATACTGGTAGTATAAACAATATATTAAAATACATCAGTACAACCTGTTCATACAGATGAATAGGTTGCTCCTTACAGAACAGGTTTATTTTTTACATTTTAAATGTGATCTTGGGGTTTGAGATAGACCTCAAAATATCTTGAAAACTATTAAGAACTCTCCAGAAAGAAAGATTTCATGATTTAAAATGCATTTGTGGGAATTCCCTGGCAGTCCAGTGGTTAAGACTCAGCACTTGCACTGCCGAGGGCCCAGGTTTGATCCCTGGTCGGGGAACTAAGATCCCGCGAGCCCCACAGTGCAGCCAAAAAATAAATAAAAACATTAAAAAAAAATGTATTTGTAATGTGTATGTGTGTGTAAAATTATATACAGTTTAAAATCAATACTCATCACCCCATAAACACTAAGACTCAAGAATAATCCAACTTTCATTTTACTTATAACCACAGATGCCAGGTAAGCACTTTGACTCCAGTGTCTTACAGAGGACAGAGCAGGGGGGGAGCCGGGTGACCTGGCTCACAAGAGCCAAATGTGCATCTCTCTTCCCAACTCCTCAGTGACTTTACCTCGGTAGCTGGAAATAAGCTATAGGGGAAGTATTTATACCACGGAAACAAATATGGGCTTTTCCCCCCAGGGAACTGGTTGTTAAGCATTTACCAGCACACCTCTCTAACGGGATCAGAGTGGGAAAATGACTGGCCAGGCAGCCTAGCGCTCGCCTCCCTTAGGGCATTTCAGGGACTGAATGAGCTAATACTACAGGTATAAGGTGGTTAGAACATGCCTGGCTCATGTTAGGTCCCAGATGCGTGGTTACTGTTGCTGTTTGTTATTGGAATTTATTCCAAGGATAGTTTTACAGAAGAGGATGCTCAAAACATTCTTTATAATTACAGGCATACCTTGGAGATATTGCATTGCAGGGTCAGTTCCAGACCAATGCAATAAAGTCCGTGTCAGGCTTCCCTGGTGGCGCAGTGGTTAAGAATCCGCCTGCCAACGCAGGGGACACGTGTTCGAGCCCTGGTCCGGGAAGATCCCACATGCCGAAGAGCAACTAAGTCCATGCGCCACAACTACTGAGCCTGCGCTCTAGAGCCTGCAAGCCACAACTACTGAAGCCCACACGCCTAGAGCCCATACTCCACAACAAGAGAAGCCACCGCAGTGAGAAGCCTGCGCACAACGAAGAGTAACCCCCGCTCGCCCGCTGCAACTAGAGAAAGCCCGCGTGCAGCAACGAAGACCCAACGCAGCCATAAATAAATAAACTTTAAAAAAGAGTCAGTGTCGCACGCAATAAACCGAGTCACACAAATTGTGTGGTTTCCCAGTGCATATGAAAGTTATGTTTACACTACAGTCTATTAAGTGTGAAACAGCATCAAGTCTAAAAAAATATACACACCTTAATTAACAAATACTTGATTGCTAAAAAATGCTAACCATCACCTGAGACTTCGGTGAGTCACCAACGTTTTTGCTAGTGGAGGGTCTGAAATATTGCGCAAATTACCGAAACGTGACAGAGACACGAACTGAGCAACTGCTACTGGAAAAATGGAGCCAAAAGACTCCCTTGAGGGGGAGTTGCCACAAACCTTCAATCTGTAAAAAACGCAGTATCTGCAAAGTGCAATAAGACAAGGTCTGCCTGTACAGACGCCAGATCACAGGAATTTAACAACATCAATGCCCAGTAGGTAATTTGATAAATTACAGTATATCTATACAAAATAATACTATATAACCGTTAAACATCATTGTCTTCAAAAATTTATAAAGATATGAGAAAATGCTCATAAGAATTATGTGGAAAAAACAGTTTACCAAACAGTTAGTGCAATACATTTTTTTTTTAAGCACTTATATAGAAAGACTGGAAGAAAAAAATCCAAAAATTGCTAAAAGTAGTTAGTCCTGCTGATAGGATTACAGTTATACACTATATAATATTTTCCTACAGTCAATGTATATTCCTTGTACAAAAAAGTTCCTATTAAAAAGCAGAATGGGACTTCCCCAGTGGTTAAGAATCTACCTGCCAATGCAGGGGACACGGGTTCAAGCCCTGGTCCAGGAAGATTGCACATGCCGAGGAGCAACTAAGCTCGTGTGCCACGACTACTGAGCCTGCGAGCCACAACTACTGAAGCTCACACGCCTAGAGCCCACACTCCACAATAAGAGAAGCCACTGCAATGAGAAGCCCGCGCACCGCAACAAAGAGTAGCGCCGGCTTGCCACAACTAGAGAAAGCCCACGTGCAGCAACAAAGACCCAATGCAACCAAAAATAAATAAATGTATTAAAAATAAATTAATTAATTAAATAAAAAGCAAGATGGCTGAGAAGTTTCTTTGTAGACACTTACTCGACAAAAAACATTTGTCCATTCTCATCAGTTTCTTGTTCCCATCCATAGGGCAAATCTGAAACACAGAAGGACAACAGGTCTATGTGGGGGTGGGGGTGGGGTGGGGTGAACTGAAGCCCCTGCCCTTCCAGCCCCAGACCTATCCCACCAGACCAGCAGGTCACGTGCTCCAACTATGGCAGGTACAGAAGGCCCATTACCCCAACCAGACTCTACATTCTGCCTCTTGCTTGGAAGTAACACTATTTCATTCTTTTTTTTTTTTAATTTTATTGAAGTATAGTTGATTTACAGCGTTAACTTCTGCTGTACAGCGGTGACTCAGTTTGACATATATTTTTTCATAGTCGTTTCCATTATGGTTTATTACAGGATATTGAATACAGTTTCTTGTGCTCTACAGCAGGACCTTGTTGGTTACCAATTCTATATATAATAGTTTGTATCAGCTAAACCCAATCTCCCAATCCATCCCTCCCCCACCCTCACCTTCGCAACCACAAGCCTGTTCTCTATGTCTGTGAATCTGTTCCTGTTTCGTAGATATGTTCATTTGTGGCACATTTTAGATTCCACATATAAGTGATACCATATGATATTTGTCTTTCTCTTTCTGAGTTACTTCACTTAGTATGATAATCTCTAGGTCCATCCATGTTGCTGCAAATGGTATTATTTCATTCTTTTTTATGGCTGAGTAATATTCCTTTGTATTGGGTTGGCCAAAAAATTTGTTCAGTGTTTTCCATAAGATGACTCTATTAGTGCTTAGTTGTCTAACTTCATTCGAAACAATTTTGTTAGACTGTACTGTGACAGCTGTCATAACAGCATGCCTTTTAAAAAAACATCAAAACTGGTGAATTTTTGTGTAGCCATTTTAATATTGAAGATGGAGGGGAAAAAGCAACATATTCAGCACATTATCCTTTATTATTTCAAGAAAGGTAAAAACGCAACTGAAACGCAAAAAAAGATTTGTGCAGTGTATGGAGAAGGTGCTGTGACTGATGGAACGTGTCAAAAGTTGTTTGTGAAGTTTCATGCTGGAGATTTCTCACTGGACAATGCTCCATGGCCGGGTAGACCAGTTGAAGTTGATAGCGATCAAATCGAGACACTGAGAACAATCAACAGTATACCATGCAGGAAATAGCCGATATACTCAAAATATCCAAATCAAGCGTTGAAAATCATTTGCACCAGCTTGGTTATGTTAATCGCTTTGATGTTTGGGTTCCACGTAAGTTAAGCAAAAAAAACCTTCTTGACCGTATTTCTGTATGCAATTCTCTACTTAAACGTAAGAAAAATACTCTGTTTTTAAAACAAATTGTGACGGGCGATGAAAAGTGGATACTGTACAATAATGTGTAATGGAAGAAATCGTCGGGCAAGCAAAATGAACCACCACCAACCACAGCAAACCAGTCTTCATCCAAAGAAGGTGATGTTGTGTATATGGTGGGATTGGAAGAAAGTCCTCTAATATGAGCTCCTTCTGGAAAACCAACGATTAATTCCAACACGTACTGCTCCCAGTTAGACCAACTGAAAGCAGCACTCGACGAAAAGCGTTCGGAATTGGTCAACAGAAAACGCATCATCTTCCATCACGATAATGCAAGACTGCATGTTTCTTTGATGACCAGGTAACAACTGTTACAGCTTAGCTGGGAAGTTCTGATTCATCTGCCGTATTCACCAGACACTGCACCTTCGCATTTCCATTTGTTTCGGTCTTTACAAAATTCTCTTAACGGAAAATATTTCCATTCCCTGGAAGACAGTAGAAGGTACCTGGAACAGTTCTTTGCTCAAAAAGATAAAAAGTTCTGGGAAGATGGAATTATGAAGTTGCCTGAAAAATGGCAGAAGGTAGTGGAACAAAACAGTGAATACGTTGTTCAATAAAGTTCTTGGGAAAATGAAACATGTGTCTTATTTTTATTTAAAAACCGAAGGAACTTTTTGGCCAACCCAATACCACATCATCTTTATCCATTCATCTTCTGATCGATAGTCAAGTTACTTCCATGTCTCGGCTACTGTGAATAGTGCTTCTATGAAGAGAGGAGTGCGTGTAGCTTTTTGAATTATGGTTTTTTTCTGGATATATGCCCAGGAGCAGGACTGCTGAATCATATGGCAACTCTATTTTTAAGATTATTTCATTCTTGGGAATTCCCTGGCAGTCCAGTGGTTAGGAGTCCACACGTTCACTGCTGGGCCTGGATTGAATCCCTGGTCGGGGAACTAAGATCCTGAAAGCCATGTGGCCAAAAGATAAAATAAAATAAAGTAAAATACTATTTCGTTCTTGATCATTCTTCAACACTCCATTCAGCTTCTGCTTTTCACAAAACCCTTACTGGCTGCTCCAACCAACATGAATTCTCCCTTGAATGAATTCCCAGAACGTATCTACACTACAGCAGGCACCCAATACCGTTCATATGCTGACTTGTGAAGATTCATGTTATAGACCGGTTGCGCTTTTTTCCCAAGGGCACATGTTGTCTTTTCAAATGGACCCTCAACCTCTTGAGAGCAGGGACCTCCTTACACTTCTATTCCATGCATGACACACTTACTCAGAAGCACCTACAAGTCAAGGCAAGCTTTACGGATTCTATCAAACGCTGATATATTTAATTCCAGGATAGGAACCAAGACCAACTTTACAAACAGTGCAACTATGGAAAACTCTAATGAACTGTGAATTCAAGGCCCCTATTATTTTAATACTTTCTTATTTAAGAAATCATCCTAAGCACTCCACCCCAAGAGCTCGTCACTTCCTTCTACCGAATCCTACAAACTCCCCAGAGGGAGAGTCCAGCTCCTGTGACAGTTTTCCCATCTGATTAATGCTTTAAATACAAGGGTCTCTGCTTTACGACAACAACATACAAACCTCCTGCTATTCGCTTTCTTTTCCCGGTTTTCGGATGTTCCCACTGAGTCTTCTCTTCCGTGTGACTGTTAAAAAAAAAAAAAAAATCCACAGAATACGTAGTAAGTAAAAGTTCCACTTCTAAAAATTAATCAATGGCATTAAATTTTTTTTTGTCCCCCACGTGATACTCTCTCAAGAGTACTCAAGTCAGACAGTCAGAAAGAAATATTCAGATTATAAACGTTACTGTTTGCATCAGGTCAAATTCTCTAGTTTGGAAGCAGCAGCAGACTGGGAAAAATCTCCCGAAAACCTGTATCTGTTAGCTGGCGGTGAAGCCAGAGGAAGGGGACTTGACCCCAACTGGGGGGTCAACTCTAGGAATCTCGCTGAATCACTCAAAATACCTAAAGAGGTGTTTTGTTTTGTACTTGTTTTAGTTTTCATTTTAGTTTTATTCCAGGATAAACTGAAAAATTTCAGTCAAATTTATAATGCTGATATGCATGTACCATTTAGATATAACCTTAATCTTCTTAAATGTTTATTCTTTCCACAGATTTAACTTCAAAGTGTTTTTTAAGCACTGATTCCTAATTTCATCCAAGAGGGTAAGGCAGCTCCGTAGGTCAGTCACTCACCTTTGGAGCCTCAATTTCCTCAACTGCATAATAATCCTAGTATTCATCTGAGGAGAATGCTACGAGGATACTGTAAATAAAGGGTTGAACACAGTACTTGGCATAAAAAGCCCTCAAAAGTTCTATTATTTTCAACAAATCAAATATACAAACTAGTCTGATTTCTGTGCCAAACTAGCATTTCATCTCGGAAGAGCACACACAGTTATCAATGAAACCATGGGCCAATAACAGACTAGCAACACCTGTCAACAGCTGATCCAGTGTGGAGAAAAAACATAAAATTACTTCATCAAGGAAACAGCTGCATGTTTCAAGAGGCATTCAAAGTTCACATGCTCAGGCCAAAGTAGAAAATAATACTTAATCACTGACAACCAGATGATAGAATATTCCTTCCCTATCCATGATTTTAAAGAGAATAAATACAGAGCTTGTGAACGCTCTTGTAAGACGTTGCACGTCAAAAGCAGGGTCTTTCCAGAAACTGCTGGCTTCCGGTGTTTTTGCAAATTATCGGTGGCCAGTACAAGGACACAGTGGACACTGGACTCAAAAGGCCAAAGACCTGAGCTCCTGCACTGCCTGCACTCAGTGAGCCAGTCTCCCTAGAAGCACATCCACCTCACAGAGCTGTTGGAAAGGTAAGAGACACCATACCTGGGACAGTGACTGGTGAACAATTAGATCCCTGTACAAACAGAGGGTATCAGCAAGGACCAACTGCCACCTGTGTTATCGCCCCACCATCAAACCCTGACTGCAGAAAGGAAGCCCAAAAAGGAGTAAGAACCAGGTTACATTTGGTAATTCAGATCCCTTGGAGAAGTTTTTCAACCTCCAGCCTCAGTTTCCCCATCAGTACAAAGGGGAAAACAATGGCCCTACTACTTGGGGTCATAGAGGACTCAGTGAGTAACGTGTGAAGAACTAAGAACCGTGCCTTTGACAGAAAAGGATTATTTTAAATAAACTTTTATATAAAAATTAATTAAAGGGTGTTCCTTTCTCATTGTAATCTAAAATGACTTTTCAATGAACAGAAAATTACAACACATGTCCCCAAATTATCTTACTCTCCTTTAAACAGAAGCCCTTTTTTTTCTTTCAGTAAGCTTTTTGTCATTTAAAAAGATAATTAACAGTGATCTTAATTTAAAACAAAGGGATCAAAATTAAATTCACACCACATTACAGGGCTATCACTTTCAAGTATTTTCCTCTAAGTTGTTTTTTTCTTCCTTAAGCATAGTTTCTTGGAGTGAACTGGGAGACCCAGAGCCACCTGTGGACAGGGGCCCGCCTCCCATCCGGGCAGACCAGCCATCCCTCTGCTGCCAAGAGGCCCGGGCTTCAGAATAAAAGGGGGGCGGGAGTGGAGGACCCAGGACGGCCCAGGCGACGGCATCCACAGCCCCCAGCACCAAGACCTCGTCCTTCCGGCCCCACCCCCTGGTTAAGGCAGAGGGGCTTCTCTGGACCGTGCTAGGGAAGGGAGAAAGGCTCATCAGCTCTCTGTGGTAACAGGTCTGTCCTCGGCAGCGTGAACGTCCCCTCCATGGGAGCCCAGCCTGGGGGGCCTTGAGCCAGGGGACACGTGTGTCTTTGAGGTCTGAGTGCACCCTGGGGAGTGTGAGGGAGCCTGAGGGGTTGACAGAACCCACACAACAGAAGAGGGGCGAGACTACGACGGGGTTTCCCACAAGACCCCAGAGGCCTGGTTGGGAGCTACAGCCTCTGCCCTTGGGCACAACCCTGCCGCAGTGGGATGAAGACCATGGAAAAAAGGAACGACTGCAAGGGCAATCTATCAGCCAAGTTGCCCAGACCCCAGGGGACAAGTGACCTTCTAGAATCAGGAGTGAAAAGAAGGATCAGGATGCTTGCAGGTCAGGAGAGATCAAGGGGGACTGCTGGGAATCCAGGGTCAGGATGGGTCGGGGGCATCCTTCCACCCCAAGCCAAAGAACGGAAGGCCGGTAGGACAGGAGAGAGAGTCTGGAGAGAGGTACTCCCACCGCCCAGCTGGGAGCCCGCCAAGCCTTGTCACCACAGTCAGTGTAAACAACAGGGCCAGATACCGGGGTGGGGGTGGGGGGCAGGAGGCAGAGAGGGGCGTACTTTTCAGAGACCGCATAGGCGCCACGGAGTCCCCTGGCCATGGGCTCCCAGGAAGCTGTCAGCAGAACTGGCTGGTGCGTGTAGGTCTTACCGAGTGAAAGAAGAACCCCAAGCCCAGACGGTGGATGCCACCCAGGAAGGCAGCAGATGGGAAAGGCCACCCAACACAAGGTGAGGTGCAGGAGGCAGGGTGAGCGAAGGCGAAGGGGCCTCCAGACTGAACGCAAGGTTACAGGGGAACTTGAAAGGAAGCCAGGGAGCTCTGGGGGCAGTGGCCCGAAGGGGACAGGCCCCACCCAGAGCAGGAGCAGAGGAGCCCCCCGAAGCCGGGAGGTAGGCCGTGCGCATCTTCGTGTCCCCAGGGCCTAGAACGCCACCTGCCCAGGGAGGCCCGCGGGAAACCTTCCCTAGATGAGCTAACTGACTCGTTCCCTGGATTTACTTTACGGCGCCAGGATGCTAAGCATGGGGGATACAGAGGGGAACGAGAAAAGGTCCCCGCCCTCACGAAGTTGACAACCTGGGGAGGGACAGAGAGCAAAACAGGGCCGAGTAGAGCGTAGAAAACTACAGACAAGGGAGAGCAAAGTGGTGGAAGGCAGGCGCAGGGCCGATGCAAGGGAACGCTCTCGTGGGCAGTGACATTTAAGCTCAGCTCTGAGGGATGAAAGAGCGCTTCAGGCGAAGGCTGAGGCAACAGCAAATGCCCATTCAGGAGTTGCCCGGAGCCGGCCAACTGCCCCCTGGCTCCCTGCTGCTAGAAATGCCCCTTCAATTCTCCAGAGCAGAAATCATCCTTCTAAAGACACAAACCCGAGGTCACTCCCTGGCTCCAAGTATTCAGTGGACACATGGGTCCTGCTGACAGAGCCCAGATACTCCGAGGCACAGAAAGGCCTCCATAAATCAACTGTGTCCTTCCTTCCCACCTCAATCTTCATGTTCCTGCACCACCGCACAGGCCGCACCTCTGTTTCTTCTACCTGGGCTGCCCTCCTGCCCCTGGACCTGACCACTTCTACCTGTGCTCTAAGGCACAGCTCAGGTGCCCACTGCCCCAGGCACCTCACCACCTACCCACACAGCTCATGCTGGACAGGCTGCCACTCACTACACACATTGCGTGGGGACCACGTCACTGCACGTCGCTCTGTCCTATAAGACTGGGCACTCATGAAAGTGACAAGCGGTCTTATGTTTTTACTTTTTTTTTTTTTTTTTTTTTGCCGCGACGTGTGGCATGTGGGATCTTAGTTCCCCGACCAGGGATCGATCCTGGGCCCCCTGCACTGAGGATGCGGAGTCTTAAGCACTGGACGGCCAGGGAAATCCCAACGAGTGGTCTTATTTATCTCAGTAAAACCAATGCCCAGCAAAGAGCCTGGCACAGGATACATTCCCAATGAGTCTTGAATGAACTCACCAAGGTCGTTTCCTCCTGTTTTTCTTTCTAGCAAGCCACCGAAGGCAGCAGAGGCTCACAACCTTGGGCAGATTAGAATCACGTGGGAAGATTTCACAACCTACCACTAGGGGCGGGAGGCGGGGCAAGAAAATTAAATGAGAATCCCTGGAGGTGGGAGCCAGGAAAAGAGTTTGTTTCCCAGGTGTTGAAAATCACCGATTTACATCCATGCTTCTCAAAGCTGTAACCTGCCTCAGCTGGAAAGCTTAAAAAATAAAGAATCCCTATGTTGGCTGCCTGCTGCATGAGCGTCTCTGTGGAGACCCCAAATCTATAGTTATGATGGTCCCCAGGTGATTCTAATATCAGGCCTAGAAGGTGCTGTCACAGCTGCAGAAATCAGGAAAGGCTAAGTTATCCAGCATTGAGTATGTTTAGGCCTGTGCTAAGCCTTTACGTACAGGGCCTCAACTAAAACTCTCCAACCAACGTATTTAGCAGATAAGAAACCCGTGACTGAGAGTTATTCCAATGGCCCAAGGTCACACAGTAAGTGGTGGGAAAAAGGGTCTCCTGGTGTTTCCAAAACTTTGCTGAGAACTATAGTAAAGCTATATTAGCCATTTTATATGTATACATATATATATATATATACACACAGAGTTATACTTGGACACTTGTTAAAAATACACACTCCTAGGTCGTCAACCCAGACCCCCCAGAAAGGATTGGGGCATCGGCATTTTTTTCCGATTTTGGGGGGGCAAAGGGAATGAGGCCGGTCTGCCATCCTTGCACCGTGCAGCGCTGCCTACTGGGCAGCAGAGGGCGCGTCTGAGCGCCGCCAGGTGACCCCCGCTGGACCCAGGGCCAGAGAGGGGGATGGCCCGTCTTCAGGACCCCGGCAGCCTTCCCCCTGAAGCTCTTCAACCATGACTTCCACTTCGCCCTCCCAGGCCAAGCCTGAGCGCGAGCCCGCGGCCCTCCCCGCGCAGGTGGCATTCGGAGGCAGCGCGGAGTCCCGGGCAGGTGAGCGGCAGGGTTCCAGCTGCGTCCCAAAGCCGGCGGCCCCCCGGCGGCCCCCTTACTTGGCATAGTAAACCCAGCCGTCCTTGGTGGTTCTCTGCTCCCAGCCCGGGGGCAGCTCGTCCTCGCTGTCCGTGTCGTCCAGGCCCGCGTAGCGCAGGGCTGCCATGGCTGCAGAGGAGGCGCCCGGTCACCCGCTAGCTCGCCTGCTGCCGGGTCTCCGCGACCAGAACTCACTCCCGCTTCAACCGAGCGCCGCGCGCCGCGAGCCCCGAACGCTCGCGCCTGCGCACTGTGCCGCCCGGAGCCCCTCCTCCGACTCGGCAGGTGAATCCAGTCTCCGCAATTGCGCAGCTGCCGGAGTCAAAGGAGGCGGGGCCTGAGAAGACCTAGGGGGAAAGCACCCACGAGCTCGCACGGCCGCTCGGCTGGAAGTAAAAGGCGGTTGAGAGTTCTGTGGCTCTGGAGATGGAGTCGAGCTTCGCCACCTCCCAGCCGCAGGCAAGGGGGCGTGGGCATCCAGTCACGGTCCAGGACTCCGCCCGTTGCTGGGCGACCCGTAATCACTTCCGCGTTGTTCTAGCCAGTCCCGCAGGAGCTACAGCAATTGGGCATCCTGGGAAATGTAGTCCAGACCCTGCAGGAATAGAGCGTGGCGCGGAAAGGAAGGAGGCAGCTGCTGGCTTTCTGGGCTATAGCCTCTCCTTTTTTTAGGGCATTCGGAAGAATGAATGTTCCTGCTCAGACACCTTCCAGAGCTTTCCATGACCCAGGCTGATTCACAAACTTTGTTGTGCATGTAAACTCAACGCTGTAAACAGTGGGAAGCATTAAAAACACAAATTCCTGCACCTTCTGATGCCCAGTCCTGGAGAAGTTTCTTCTAGCCACAGCGTGGTTCTGTTGATAATAAATGGCCAACGTTTATGGAATTTTCCAGAACATTCCCTGCTTGGAACTTTCTGCCTAGCTCATCGTTACAGGGAAATCTACTGACCGTGATCTCTCTGGCCTAGGTTTCAGAAGAATGCAAGCCTCCGTAGAGGAATTATGTGTTTCAAAGGGATGAAAATGGGGAGTAGGGATTAGCTTTTTATTTTCTTCAAGTCTTGAGACTGATATTGCTTTGGGATTCCTGCTCTGCATGCTCTTTAGGGGAGACACTTGCTGTCCTTTGAAGTTGCCCAACCAAAAGCTAACTTAACGAAACCATATTTCAGTTTTAACAGACCCACTATCCCAACTCAGATCTATCACATCACTCTTTCCAAATCCAGGTACATTTAAGTGAGCTACTATTAATCTGCTGCCTTTCTACTTACCCCAATTTAACCCCTTGCCCCTGTCACCCAAGCCAAATTATTCCTTTCATATGAATAGGAAATTAGGTCACAAAATCCCCTAATGGTGGAGAGGGGGATGAATAGAGTCAAACTGCTTAGACTCAGTTTCTCCAATGATTATCTTTAGCCTGTGCTGGGCTTCTCAAGGACCTACTGCTTAGATTTATCTTGGAGCCTTAGATTTATCGCCAGAGCCTCAACTGCCACCTGTTGCCTATGACTTGGCATCATTCCACAGGTGGTGATACAGTATGGTGTCTTCCTCAAGCTGGGTAGTGCTCCGCTTGGCAGGATTCTCAACTTCTTGTTCAACCCTCTGCTCTTCCTACCACTTTAAAAGTTCCTCTAGGCTTCTCCTGCCAGGGACACAGAGCTCCTCAACTTCAACACTACTGACATTTGGGGCCACATAATTCTTTGTTGTGGGGGACTGTCCTGTGCTCTGTAGGATGTTTAGCAGCATCTCCGTCCTCTACACACTAGATCCGGTAGCGTCCCCTTTCCCACAGCTGCAACAACCAAAAATGTCTCCAGGCGTTGCCAATTGTGCCCCCAGTTAAGAACCACTGATCTACACTGAAAGTAAATCAGGAAATTACTAGCATGTGAATCAAATGCTGAGATTTATTGAAGGCATTGAAGACCCATTTCTGGCCAGAGATTCACAAGATGGTACTCAGATCCTGCTGGTCGCTGAGTTCTCTAGCATTAACTGAGGACATCTGCCTCTCTAATTCCTAGTCCATCCGCAGGTGAGAGACATGTGCTTACAAGTCTGGCTGGGTGGCCTGGACACCAATCATGGTCCCAAGTGGTTATGATGACCTCATTTTATTCCTCTCTTCCTACATCTTACCTGTGGCCTCTATCAGAAAGTCAAAGAAGAAGGACATTCAGGCATTTGGGGACTTGTGTGAGTAAGCATGCCAGATTTTAGGATTTATAGTCTTTTGGCTTCACTGAAACTAATATTGTTTTAGTTACACTTATTCGATTGCAAGCAACAGAGACTCACTCAAAAGTTTATGATCAGGATGCAAATGAGCTAAATTAGATTGTTGTCACAACCTGTGGGAGCCCAAGGACAGGCCTGTTTTTTTTCTGTCGTGGGTTTCATGGTCTTTTGTTCCTGTTCTGTGTTCATGGGCTACCTTTTTTTTTTTTTTTTTACTCTTTCCTTACTGGCTTCCTCTATTCATAGTTTCTGCTTCACTTGGACTTCAGCTTGGATGCAATTTTGACTTTGGATCTATCAGAGGGTGAACCCCGTTTAGCTTGTTAGATTATTATGGGTTTGAGGAGTCTTAAGTATGGGAATGAGGCAAGGTCCTCGACATGTGCTTACGAAAGCCTAAAGAATGGTTTCTTATTGTAAAGCCAACTGAATCACATTTGATCATTAGATAGGAGGTTAATTTAAAAAAAAAAAGTCAACATGTGGTTATAAAACTACACACCAGATGGTGCTATGTACCCACAATTTTAAGGCTAAAGCCCAATTCCCGACAGGGATTTCTACATTTGAACGTTTCTTTTTGATCACTTCTGAAATAACTGATAATTTATGAACAAAAGACTGATCACTTTTCTTCTGAAAGCAGTTTGGCATCACTCATGCAGTGGGCACAAGTTTTAATGTAACACTCCTGAGACCACATTTCTTTAGTTCATCGTCATGACCGGGATGGTAGTCATTTCCTCCCCCTTCAGACACACAAACACCCCAACAGTCCTGCAAACCTGCTTTAACTTAAGCCACCATTCCTTAGGAAATTAAGTTTTGGTGCCAGACTCAACATGTTAATGAAACCTGGGAAGCATCCTGGCTCTTCTGATAAACTTCTCATGGAAGATAACCAATAAGCAAAATTATTGAACAGGATTCTTAGGGAAAACTCTCCTGGTTAATGTGGACTTAGGAAGAAGGTGTTTTTGTATTTCACTTATTCAGTCAAACACACAATGAGTGAAAACTAAAACTATGCTACGTTTCTAAGAAAAGCCAAGGAAAATGAAACACCTCCTGCATCCAGAAATCAGTCAGTTAGAATAAAACCAACAGGCACGCAAAGGACCATGGCTTGAGGGTTCTGAAAGCAGTTCCAACCAGGACCTATAGGTATGCAGAGACGGGGAGAGTTTTGGTGATAAGGTTTCCTATCATTTATCTTGGGAACCAAACTCAGCTACTGTCACTTACAAGCTGTGTGTGACAGTGGCCAAGTCACTTACCTTATTCCATTATTATCGGCCCAGTTTTTACAGATGAGGAAAGGGGGGCACAAGGAATTGAAGTAGCTTGCTCAAGGTCACTCAGTGAGCAAAAGCCAGCAGGATCTGGGATAGAACCCAAACAAGGGCACTTGCCCCAAACTCATCCTCTCAACCCACTGCCCCACATGCTGCCTTTCCAGAACAGAGCTCCCCACTGCTGGTCCTCGGGTACATGCCCAGGGGTTTTCAGTCCTCCATGAGCAAGTGAGAAAAATAAGTAAAGGAAGTGAATTTTTCATAAAGCTAAATATATTCCACTTAAAATACTGCGGAGGGGGGGGGTCCTATGAGATGACATCTGTTCTTTTACTTTCTGGTATTCTATTCTTTTCCTTTTTCCCAACATGTTTTATTATGACATTTTTCAAACAACCAGAAAAGTTGAGAGATGAGTTTAATGAACATCCATAGTATCCCACCTCCAGCACACACACCTAGATGTGGTCATGCTTCACCTTCTGCCGAATGGGCTTTAAAGAGACGGAGCTTGATTGCCTGAAACATTAGGAGAGAGTGATTTTGTTTCATTTTGAAAGTCCTTGAGACTGAGTACGAATGCTCATTTTTCTCCTGGGCTACCGGTAGGCACTCTTCCCTGGTGAGCTCATTACATCCATTGCAGCAACTTCTGGGAATTAGACCCTTCCATTTGGAGACTTCATTCGTTTAATTTATGTGTAAAGGCCCTACGCTTCAATGTAGCTTTCTGGTATACTTGCTAACTTGCCAACATTCACAAAATTCTATTTCAGCCTGACTTCATTACTGTCTCCTTTCTGTCCTTCAGGGAAAGAATCCCCCTCCAGGGGGCAGTCACGTTGCCATGAGGAGTCCGTTCTATTTAAAATCTTCCACCTCCTGTTTAGAGTGTCTTATTTTAGCAGCCAAAGCTTCCAAGACGTCTCTCTGAGCCACACCTGTCACGATCTTACAAATGAATTCTTCCAAGGACTCCAGGTCCTGGAGCCCAAGATTCACCCCAGATCCTGCCAGACATGCAGGTATAAATATACCGGGGCTCGGGGGAGCAGCATAAAGAAAAAGAAAAAGAAAAGAGAGAGAGAAATGCAAATCAAAACTGCAGTGAGGTCCTACCTCACACTGGTAGGGATGGCCATCATTAAAAAGTCTAGGGGCTTCTCTGGCGGTCCAGTGATCAACACACCATGCTTCCACTGTAGGGGGCATGGGTTTGATCCTTGGTCTGGGAACTAAGATTCCACATGCCGTGGGGTGTGGCAAAAAAAAAAAAAAAAAAAAAAATGTCTACAAAGAACAAATGCTGGAGAGGGTGTGGAGAAAAGGGAACCCTCCTACACTGTTGGTGGGAATGTAAATTGGTGCAGCCACTATGCAGAACAGTACAGAGGTTCCTCAAAAAACTAAAAATAGAGATACCATATGACCCAGCAATCCTACTGCTGGCCGTGTATCTGGAAAAAACTGTAATTGGAAAAGATACATGCACCCCAACGTTCATAGCAGCACTATTCACAATAGCCAAGACATGGAAACAACCTAACTGTCCATCACCAGAGAAATGGATAAAGAAGATGTGGTATATATATATATATATATACATATATATATATATGTATATATATATATATAATATATATAATGGAATATTACTCAGCCATAAAAAAGAATAAAATAGTGCCATTTGCAGCAACATGGATGCAGCTAGAGATTATCACACTCAGTGAATTCAATCAGAAAAAGAAAGACATGAGGATGAGGATGCTC